GTAGGGGTACTGGAATTATTATTATTATTATACAGAATTTATATAGCACAGTTTGCTCAGCGCTGTACATTATAATGGGAGACAGTACACGAGACAGCACAGTAACAATACAATACAATACACGAGGGGTTCAAGGGCCCTGCTCCTTGGAGCTTACAATCTAGGAATTAAAGGTGAACGTGCAGCAGAGAAAGATAAGGATTCATTCCATGCAAAAAATGGCTGTGCTGTGTGGCAGAGCTGTATAAGTCTCAGAAATGAATGATCAGAAATACAAAGCCTTTTTGCAATTAAAGGATCGTCCATATAATGTATGTATTTCATTTAGCTTTGTGCCTGGAGTTCAGCGTTAAATTGACCAATATTGTAAAACTAATTTCTGATTGTCAGACTGGTAACTCCTTAGCTTCTAACACTCAATGGATGAAACAAATGGAACACTGTTACAGCAATTTGTTCTAAAAGGATTTTATGGTAACGCCATATTACAGATCATAATATTTGCAGCATTGTTGATGACCTACTTTATTACAATGTTTGGAAACCTCCTGATAATTATTATCATTTGTAGTTATTCTCATCTCCACTCTTCTATGTACTTATTCCTGGTGTGCTTTCCTTTCACTGATCTACTTATGGTTTCCTTTGTTATTCCTAAGTTGAAAACAATACCTGTTGCAGAAAATATAGTTTCTAAAGTGGGTTGTCTGATACGATCCTATTTGTATTACTTCATATGCACTGTAGATTTGATCATTTTAACTGCAAAGTCCATAGACCGATATATAGCTATTTGTAACCCAATCGGATCAGGGACGTATTTACCATGAGGCAAACAAGGCGTTTGCCTTGGGTGGCATTTTGCAGGGGGGCAATGATGCCTCACCCCCCCAAGAAGGTAAGCTAGTTGTCCTGCACGCCCTGTGCTCAGTCTTAAGACGCTGGTTCCTGTGTGGTGACGTCACACCGGTGACCAGGAGCGGATGGCGCTGTGTATGAAGAGGCTCCGAGGGGTACCAGGGCTGGGTGGCAGGTGGAAGAGCGGAGTGTGGGGCGCTGAGAGAGCAGCCGTTAGACTCTGGGAAAGGAGCCGGGTGAGTAATATAGGCAGCACTGATGTAGCAGAGGGCTGTCGGTAGGGCTGTCGGTAGGAATGAAGACATCTAAAAATGGTTTCATTCCGGTGAGCTGTGAAGGTGAGTCTCTCTCTCTCTCTCTCTCTCTCTCTCTCTCTCATTCTCTCTCTTTTGAGAGGGGAGGAGTGATTTTTTTGTGTTGCCTAGGGCAGCACAAAACCTAAACCTCCATTATGAGAAATAGTATTTTTTTAAATCTAGTGATTGGTTGCTTCAATACTCTGTTTTTATGTCTTTTGTATCCCACAGTACCTATGACTAATCTTCCATTTTTTGGCCATGTGATGGACCACTTATTTTGTGAGAGTGCAGCTTTGCTAAAGTTGGTCTGTGAAGATATACTGTAAATTTAATAAAATGGTTTTAATGACTTGTTTTGTAAGTAGCGTACTTTCCCTAGATTAACTATGCCATGGTTGAATTTCAAACAAATTGAAACCTTTGGGAGACTTTCCCTGGATAAAACTGTCCCAAAGGTACTCTCATAACATTTATACCGATTAATATAAATATATTGTGATTAATCCAAGCATTCATGCAGGAGATATGCAGTTTAAGATATGAATGTGTTATGTGAATCTCTCCTTAAGCAAAATAGGCTAGGCTACTTCCTTCAATTATGACCTGCAGATAGCACAGTATTCCTGATTGAGATAGTTTGAAATAGGTACTGTATGTAAATGTTCACAGACCTGAATGTGAAAATACTTATATGAATGTAGATATTTCTGTAGATTTACTATACATTTATTCTAAATGTTAGAATAAATACAAACGGAATTCACTCTAACAGATACAAAATTGTTGAACTGTGAAACGTCTAGAACAGATCTAGACATTCTTAATAAGTTTTGTGAGAGTACAAATTCCATAACTGCAATGTGAGTAAATAGCCAGAAATCCTGTGTTTTGTTGAGATGACAGAAAAGCATTAGTGCATATGGAATTTTGCCTAATTCTGTACAATTGTACAGATTTATGTTAATATACAGTAGGTTATAGAACCTTTGAAAACTATAGATGCTCCAATATTTCCATTTCACTTGTTGCCAATTGAGCAGTAATTGAACTATTTTGGGGATTTTACAGCATTTCATCAATTATGATTGGGGAGAATTAGGTCTCTTACACTCTAATTAATATGTACTATGCCGGTTTTTGTAGAAAAAAAGATATAAGTACATACAGTACAAGCCATTTTTGTTTATAGCTGTACAATAGCAATTACACATTGTGGAGACACAGATTGAGAGAATGCGGTTTTCAATAAAATAGATTTAAACCTTACTTTATTTGGATGGTATCCACTTACCAGGAACTATCAGACCAGAGTCAGAGTATGCTGTATTCTCCCCTTACCCTAGAGGAATTACAGACAGCAGCTGCTGCATACCCCAACTGTAAGGTGCCACGTGATGATGGTCTACCCATGGAGGTATACAAGCAATATGGGGAAAGCATCTTGCTGTTTCCGTTGAGAGTCTTGAATGCTGCCAAAAACTGAGCTAATCTTCCTTATTCTATGATCAAGGCTAACACCATCCTTCTCCTGAAGGCATGCAAAGATCCTACTGACCCAGGTTCTAAGGTCTTAGCCCTTAGACTCAATATGACTTAGACCCAAGGTAGTTTCCACAATTATACATCTGAATAAAAAAACAAAAAAAAAGATTTAAACCCTATCACTAAAATGTAATTTAGGCTTTAGCAGTTAATGCAAATTCAGAAGTTGTTTTCAGGTCGTTTCAGATCTGTAGTTTTAATTTGAATATTACCTGTGATCCAATCATGAAGATCCTTGTTCAGGTACTTCCCCTTACAAGGTGACAGTTCTGTTCTAATTGTGGTCCTGCATTGTTACCCTGTCACATGTACCCTAGGTGGAGACTACAATCCACCATATTTAACCATAGGGCACAGACATGGCTGCAACTTGTCATTATTAGGAAGCTGGTCTAGTGCAATTACTGCAGCAGGGACATGTAGACATAAGGAAGCTGAAACAGGTTAACAGCACTGAGAGACAAAAAACAGGTGAAAAAAGGATTTTATGAAAAAAATGGCAATTGTTTATGTATACACAGTGCTAAATGTCACCCAGTGAGGGATGATATTGATTTTAAGACAATACAAAAAAGTATGAAAGGTATAAATAAAGACAAGGATATACTGTATTTGCTTCAAGATGGCAATATCTTTCTAGAGCTAATAATAAGACCAATCTATTTTTGTCACATTTGGTGTTATACAAAAATGTTATTCTAAACATAAACGTACACTGTGTTTTGCAGTGATATGTCATATTCTCCCTTTTTTCTCTGAGTATATGGAAATGTTTTTGTGTAAAAGTGGGATAGCATCATCCTGGTCAAAGATTTTACTTACTGTTGAAGATGAAGAAATTACTTCTGGAACATGTGATGAAAAGCTCAAGATATATGGAGATATAAGTACTGAGTAGTCCTTTGTCAATTTTCTATCTCAACGGCATTTTGAGAGTAAATATAAAGCTTTTCAATTTTGGAAAAAAAATTAGGTGTGACTTTCTTAGTTAAAAAGTTTGGTCCATGTAGAAGGCTAAATCAGTGTAATTAAGGTGTATTGGGCCAAATCCAGTTTTGCTTTTCTGTGCACTGTTAATAAGACGAGTGTGACAGTCCAAAAGCTGAATAAAAAAAACTGAGTGGCAAATAGTGTTTTACCCTGACCATTCCAGCTTTGCAACACCATCTACCATTTAAGCTGGCCATACATAGATTGAAATTCAGCTTGGTTAGGTACTCTCACACTTAATCCCTTTTTGTTTTGCTGTCGTATTATTGTCTTAATTCTTTTGTAACGTCTTTTTCTATAAATATTTTTTCTAATTAATTTAATTTAATTTTTTTTTCTAATAATTTTCAAATTATTATTTCATTTATTAAGGGAAAAAAATTGTCCAAACCTGCCTTGCCCTATGTGAAAAAGTAGTTGCCCCCTAAACACCATGCTTCATAACCCAAGTGTGCGTGAGCTTGAGGTCACAAACTGATGGCCATACGTTATCTTTCAGGATTTTCTGGTAGTGTGCGGAATTCATGGTTTCATCATTTATGCCAAGTCATCCAGGTCCTGAAGCTGCAAAGCAGCCCTACACCATCACACTACTACCATCATGTTTGACTGTTGGTATGATGTTCTATTTATGAAATATGCTGTGTTAGTTTTACGCCAGATGTAATGGGACACACACCTTCCAAAAAGGTCAACGTTTGTCTCATCAGTCCACAGAATATTTGCTCTAAAGTCTTGGGGATAATCAAGATGTTTTGGCAAATGTAAGATGAGTGAGCCTTTGTGTTCTTTTTTGGTCAGCAGTGGCTTTCGCTTTAAAACTCTCCCATGGATGCCATTTTTTGCCCAGTCCATTTCTTATTGTTGAAACATGAACACTAACCTTAACTGAGGCAAGTGAGGCCTGCAGTTCTTTAGATGTTGTTCTGGGTGATTTTATGACCTCCTGGATGAGTCATTGTTGTGCCCTTGGAGTCATTTGGCAGGCTAGCTTCTCCTGGGAAGGTTCATCACTGTTCCAAGTTTTCTCCATTTGTGGATAATGGTTCTCACCATCATTTGCTGGAGCCCCAAAGCCTTAGAAATAACTTTGTAACCCTTTACAGACTGATACATGTCAATTACCGTATTTTTCGCTCCATAAGACGCACCTGACCATAAGACGCACCTAGGTTTTAGAGGCGAAAAACAAGAAAAAAAAATATTCTGAACCAATGGACTGCAGACACAGTACAGGAGATGACCAGAGACTGCGGACACAGTACATGAGATGACCAGAGACTGCAGACACAGTACAGGGGATGACCAGAGACTGCGGACACAGTGCAGGAGATGACCAGAGACTGGACACAGTGCAGGGGATGACCAGAGACTGCAGACATAGTACAGGAGATGGTCAGAGACTGCGGACACAGTGCAGGGGATGACCAGAGACTGCGGACACAGTGCAGGAGTTGACCAGAGACTGCGGACACAGTGCAGGAGATGACCAGAGACTGCGGACATAGTACAGGAGATGGTCAGAGACTGCGGACACAGTACTGGGGATGACCAGAGACTGCAGACATAGTACAGGAGATGGTCAGAGACTGCGGACACAGTGCAGGGGATGACCAGAGACTGCGGACACAGTGCAGGGGATGACCAGAGACGGCAGACAGTGCAGGGAATGACCAGAGACTGCAGACAGTGCAGGGAATGACCAGAGACTGCAGACAGTGCAGGGAATGACCAGAGACTGCAGACAGTGCAGGGAATGACCAGAGACTGCTGACCTTTGGGGAGGGAGGGGGAGCGGGTACCTGAATTTGACAGGTACCCGCTCCCACTTCCACAGAGTTGTCCTTACCTCTTCTTCCCGGGCCGGCTTCTGTGACAGCCGGGTGCCCACTGCGCATGCGTGAGAAGCGCTGCGCTTTGTGAATGGCCCGGCGCCTTCTGGGACCTGTCATGTGTCCCAGAAGACACCGGATCATTCACAAAGCGCAGCACATGCGCAGTGGGCACCCGGCTGTCACAGAAGCCAGCGCGGGAAGACTGTGCAGCGCTGGAGCGAGGAACAGGTAAGGCCCTGCAGGAAACAACAGCTGAGCGGCCGGCCCGGTATTCTGACATGGTGGCCGCAAAAAATACCGGACCGGCCGCTTTATATTCGCTCCATAAGACGCACTGACATTTTCCCCCCTTTTTTTGGGGGAAAAAAGTGCGTCTTATGGAGCGAAAAATACGGTACTTTGTTTTTCAGCTGTTATTGAATTTCTTTAGATCACAGCATGATGTATTGCTTTTTTAGATCTTTTAGCGTGCTTCGCTTTGTCAGAGAGCTTCTATTTAAGTGATTTCTTGATTCAGCAGGTCTGGCAGTAATCAGACATGGTTGTGGCAAGTGAAAGTTAACTCAGTTTTCCAAAAAATTGTGTTAATCACAGCTCATTTATGATTTAGCAATGAAGGGGGCGGTTACTTTTTCACATAGGCTCAAGCAGGTTTGGGCAGCTTTTTTCCCTCAATAAATTAAATTATCATTTTAAAGATGCACTTTTTATCTTTGTGTGGTATTAAAATTTGTTTGATGATCTGAATCATTTAAGTGTGACAAATATGCAAAAAAAAAATCAGGAGAGGGCAAATACAATTTCACAGCACTGAATGGCCAGCTTTACCAAATAGTTGCTGATTTAAAGTGGTTGTAAACCTCAGAACTGAAATAAGCATATTTTATAGTGTGTGTACTTGTCTCAATTAAAAGCAAAACATGTCATTTCCGTCTGCTGCTTCATTAATATGCTATCAGCATGAGTCATTTCTCACAGGTTTTCCTGGCATCAAGAGAAAAATGGTGACAGGGGAGGGAGCTCTAGCAGATTGACAGCCTCAGCTCTGTTGCTATGAGCTGAGGCTGTGGAGGGTGTGGCTCTTCCCTCCAATCAGCTCCTAGAGCTCTCCTCACTGAGCTCTGCAGATTGTAACTTCAGCTCTCCGACCCTTTTTTTCTGAACGCTAAGACAAGCTTTTTAAATCCTGGACTTTCAGTGTATGTAGAGAAGAGAAGAATGCAGATAAACGGTTACAACTTTGTAGGAGGATTTGTTTAAACTCTGTGTATCACCCAAGGCCAGTCACTTCACTGGGTATATGTAAGGGTTTACAACCACTTTAAAGCTATAAAGCTATCAAAACATTGAACACAATCTTAATTTTGGAATAGATAAAAAAACTATGGAAATGGTTATTTTGGTATTTTTAAAGGTAAAGTTAAAAGAAATGTTAAAGCTACTTTCTAGTTCTATGTGGTGTTTTTCTTTAATTTGCAATGGTTTAAAAAAATGACCTCATCCCCACACTGCAAAAGCTCTTACTGATACTTATCTCTGCCCCAGCATTTTGTTAAGTTGCCATTTCCTTTTTTAAACATGCCGTCAGAGAACAAATCTGATTAAAAATGTAATTGTGGGGGGGCGCTCGTGAGCAGCAGCCAGGATGGCTGCTTTCTAAAATCCCACCTCGGCCGCCGGACACATCGGCCGATCTTCGCCCTCCAGGGGGGGGTCCCCCTGTTTCCTCTCTGGCCCCCTGTCTCCCTGGTGCCCTGATGGGCAAAAAAACGCCGGCCGCCCCGTGCCTCCAGCTCCCGGCGGGCCGCTCCGGAGTTTGCGGCCTACCCGCCGGAGATCGCGGCTGAAGCCGCGGCCTCGATTTTTGGCCGGCCACGGACACTTCCAGGACCCCGGCCGCGGATTCACGGCTCCCGCCGGGGACCTCAGATAGAGCCCCAGACGCGAATTTGGGTCCCTCGCTGTCACCATCCATGGGTGGGTCGGACCCTGGCAGTGGGGAGGACCTGGCACCAGAGCCATCCCTGCAGTCTCTGATCCCATCCCTGCGGGATGCTGAGCTCCTACGCCGCTTTAAGTGCATGTTGCAGTCCGAGTTGTCCTCCGCTACCTCCAAGCTGGCCGATCGTCTTTCACGGGAAATTCGGGAGTTGGGCAATTGGACGAACGACCTCGAAGATAAGATGGATGCGGCAGTCACGGTCATGGAAAACCACGAACAGGATCTGTGCGACCTCAAGAAAGAATTGGCGGACACGCTACTACGGCTTGAGGATTTCGAAAATCGTTCCCGCCGTGGCAATCTGCGGTTAAGGGGTATCCTGGAAACGGTCGCAGATCTTACTTCTACTGCTACTGCTCTGTTCCAGGAGCTGACACCCGCTATTCCCATAGACCGGCTTGAATTTGACCGCATACATCGTGCATTGGGCCCCCAGACGACCGGAGGGGCCCTCAAGGGACATTATCATCAAGTTTACGTATTACCGCGCACTAAGGAAACTATCCTCTTGGCGGCTAGGAACAACCCTGACCTCAGCTTCCAGGGGCATCGCTACCAGCTCTTTGCGGACCTCTCCCAGACCACTCTTCAGAAGCGCCGCCAGTTGAAGCCCTTCACTTCGGTCCTGGTGAAACGCCGTATTAAATACACCTGGGGCTTTCCGTTTCGCCTCACCTTCACCTACCAGGGCCGCAGTCACTCTGTGGCTACGCCAGAGGAGGCCCATTCTCTCCTGGAGTCCTTGCGCCTTCTTTCGCCTGATTCTGCGGATCGGAGCCCGGCTCATTCATCAGGATCTCCGGCACGGCCGCTTCCTCCGGGCCGCATCTGGGAGCGGTCATCCGATAGGAAGAGGGCTCTCCCCCAGACCCCTTCACGATCCAGTCCTTCGTGTTCTTCTCCGGGCTGAGGATGTGTCTTGGACTTCCCGTGTATCATCTCAGCGATGGACTTCTCTGGCGGGATCGTGAGTTTTGGCCTTGGGGCTCCCCCGGTTTGTGTCAGTATTCCGGGTTGGGACTGATCTGGTTTACCCCCTTGGGTTCCTTCCCTGGTTGGGTGGGAGGGGGTCCCCTCGCAGACTCAAGACTTATGACTTTCCGCTGCCGCAACATATCTTGGGCCTGGGTGAGGGTATTTTGGTTTCTGTTGGTAGCATGGGGTGAGGGTTCCCTCGGGCTTCGGGGTGGGAGGTTGATCTGGCGGGCCCGGCTGGGTGGGAGGGGATTGGCCCCAAGGTTTCTTTGGGTTTTTATGGGAGGTCAACACGGAGGCCTCGCTCCTGGGACCTTTAGTTTTATAGCTTCGGACCCCGTTTGATTATGTTTGTTGCCTTATTGCCCTTTTGCCCCCTGGGGGCTTTAGTTTCTGATGTTTTCATTTGCAGCCATGTGTCCGGTGGTAGAGCCACCCCTAACTGGTATCCTTCCATTTGTAGGATGCGCGTCACCATTGGAGTGACAGAATTGCACTATTGTATATACTTTTTGTGTCTTTTTCCTTTTTTCTTTCTTTGTCTTTTTTTTCCTTTGTTTTTTTTTTTGTTCTTGTTTTCTGCAGGGTTCCAGGACGCCACGGTCCGCTCGCCATTGGAAGCGGAACTTGCTAGCTGCTTTATGGGTTTTTCTGCCGAGCGTGTTGCGTTGATATCGCCATGGCCTCGCCCCTTTTGAAAATACACTCACAGAATGTTCAAGGCTTCAATTCGCCTCAGAAGCGGGCTAAAGTCTTTCATCACCTTAAATCGCAACAAATTGACGTGGTATGTTTGCAAGAGACCAGGTTTTCGCAGTCCTCCGCTCCGCGTTATCTTTCACCTCACTATCCCACCTTTTACACGGCCTCGGCTCCTGAGAAGCGTCGGGGTGTACTGATAGCTTTTAAACGCAATCTTCCCTTTGTCTGTGCTCGGAATATAGCGGACCCCACGGGCAGGTATTTGCTTTTGCAGGGCACTCTCTGGGACCAGGAGGTTACTTTTGTCTCTTACTACGCACCCAATCGTTTTCAGGATAAATTCTTTTCGCATCTTTGCACCATTGTTTCCCGACACTCCAAGGGTCTCATTCTTGTTTTGGGGGATTCAAATGTTACTTTGGATTCCACGTTGGATAGGCGCTGTGCACGGGGGGCGGCCCCTTCCCATGACTTGGTGCTGGAGGAACGTATGCGCTCTCTTTTACGGACAGCGGGGCTAGCGGACGTCTGGAGGGAGCTTCACCCGACTGAACGCGACTTTACATTTTATTCCAGTCCTCATGATAGTTTTTGTAGAATTGATCATATATTTATGCCGGTTCAGCAGCTTCCCTTGGTCAGGCGCGGCTAACTATTCCCTCCTCACCTTGGTCAGATCACGATCCCTTGGTACTTCTCCTTGCCCTCTCTGGGTCAGAACGGCGCCCTTTTCATTGGCGCATCAACGATTCTTTATTGACCACTCAGGCTACCTGCCAACAAATAGAATTTTTCTTACGTACATACTTCACGGAAAACTCGGGATCGGTCTCCTCGGCAGTGCCCCTATGGGAAGCGCATAAGGCCACGGTGCGGGGTCATGTTATACAGTTGGCGGTGGTCCGGAAGCGGGAGCGTGAGCGCCGACTTTTGGAGCTTCATTCTCTCCTGGCTTCTGCGGATGCGCGCTGGAAGTCGTCTCCATCCGCAGCCCATAAACGCGCTCGGGACGCTTTGGCGACCGAATTAGACTTACTTGCCTCTTCGGAGGTGGAACGGGCTCTGCGTTGGACCAAACACAAATTTTATTCCTGTGTTAATAAACCGGGGCCCGATGCTGGCTAGGAAGCTCAATTCTGTGGGGAAACCCCATAAACCAATCCGACTGCGACTTCCCACAGGTGGATGTACTTCTAATCCCCGGCAGATTGTTTCCCAATTTTCGGACTTCCTTTCGCGCCTTTACACTACGCCTGATCCCTTCCCTGTGGCAGAGGCATTTTTTCAAGATCTTCGTCTTCCGGGATTTATCCGAGGCAGCACAGGTGGCCCTCAATGCCTGTGTTACCGTACCGGAAGTGCTCCAAGCCATCAAATCTTTGAGGTCCACCGCGGCCCCAGGTCCTGATGGCTACTCCGGTCTCTATTATA